CTGCCAGAGTTTGTGTGTGTGTGTCTGCCAGAGTTTCTGCTGGTGTCTGCCAGAGTTTATGTTTGAGTCTGCCAGTGTTTATGCGTGTGGTCTGCCAGAGTTTATGCGTGTCTGCCAGAGTTTATGTGTGTGTCTGCCAGAGTTTCTGTGTGCTTCTGCCAGAGTTTCTGTGTGTGTCTGCCAGAGTTTTTGTGTGTGTGTCTGTGGATCAAATTCCCCCCCCCCCCCCACCTCCAGTGTGTCCCTGTTTTATACTGATTATTTATGCTGGGTTAAAACGGCACGGAGAGTCCCAAGGAGACGATATTGAGAAGTTTGTATCATGGCAGGGAAGAGTATCTATATCAGCTGGGATTTTTTTGTAAGTGTACTTCTAGTTATTTCCCATGGTCTCCGGGTAGTAATATCGAACGCCTGTGTGTATTGTTGCTCACGTTTAAAAAAAAATCCCTTGGCAGTTGGAAATCGATAAAAGTAGCCTAACGGCGCAGCCCTGGCAAAATTTGGAGTTAAAAATCTACCCAAAGTATTTCAGGATCCTCGCCGCTGCTACGGAGTTCATGCACTGCGCTGAGATTCTTTCGAATGAGTGAGTCAAAAGTACAACGTAGCACCTATGGGTTACTACCCTTGTGCCATGATGTTGATCCGTTGTTTAAACCTGTAAACCTAAATCTGTATCAGACACGACCGCCAGCACACGAGACACAAGCCTGCTGCCACATGATTGCCAACGGCACACGGAACTGATTAAAATAAGAAGTTGACTCGTAACGATCAGAACTTGAGTTGCTTACCCGAACTGGATTGCAGGTACAACCAATTATAACTTCGGAGTGTTCATCTATATATCTGGGATTTGCCTTGATGGTCTGCCAACAACACTGAGACTGTGCAATCTCGGAGTGTCGAACTCTTAGCAAGGATCAGTGCTTTACAATTTTTTTGGCTTGAGCGTGAGGAGGGAAGGGGGTCTATGCGCACAGACCCAACCCCCCCCCCCCCCCGAATGGGACCCTGAACAAACAACGTACTAAAATAACAAATATGTTTAATAAGTCTTCTTATTCTTCTTCTTCTTCTTCTTCTTCTTCTTCTTCTTCTTCTTCTGCGTTCATCCGAAGATGTAATTGCGTTGTATCCGTTTACAGCATGGCTGCGATATTTGCACCTTTCAGCCAACACATCCGACTTCTGCGGGCATTTGTTGACCGGGTTAGCCTTCCCGGTATAAGTCATCTAGTAACGCTATTCTGCAAACTGTCCATTGTTGTTTACTGACTACTCATTAGAGAATTAACATCCATCATGCCGGGCATACTCATAGGCGCTCCGTCTCCCGCAGCCAATTTCTTAAGGCGCAGATGCTAACTGTTCCCATAGCACATTGACTATAAACTTGTCGTTGTCTTTATGTCACGTACCTCCTTGCTGAAACCACGCCTTTCATTCTTTCTTAGATGTTTGTTCATTTAACCTCGTGACTTCTGTCATAATTCCTTCATAAACGGTCTTCAGCAGTGTTGCCCCTTTGGATGTTTTACATCCAGATTTAGATGTTTCCCCTTGCATTTAGATGGCGTTTTTGACGTTTAGATGGTAGATGTTTTTTTTAAGATATTTTTCATTTCGAGTGAATTTATCAAATCTAACCTAAGAAATAGGATGAAATTTGACCTCGTGAATGCTATCTTGACAATAAAATTTGGCCTAAAAGAATGTTCCACTAATCAGCTCCCTGATTAGGTATTAAAAGAAATTGGAACAGCTAAAGCATGCCAGAGTCATTTTGGACCTGAAGCTTCAACTTCATCATCCAAGCTAAGTTTATCCTGTGGATCTTGTAAGGCAGACTTCAGTAAAGATGATTACATGATTCTATAGGGTAAGTCATATCAATTGCTATGTAATTTGTGACTCCGTTCAGGATGTTTTTTGTAAAAGAAAAGTGGCAACACTGGTCTTCAGAATATCCCCTTTGCACAGTACGAGTGTTTCCTGCACCTATTTTTGTTGAGATTACCTTAACAAAAGACGTATGAACGTAAGAAGGTGTGACTGAATAGAGATAAGAAAGTAAGAAGTAAAACGACACTGCTTTTAAAGCTTCCAACTTCTTTTTCTTCAGCTTTCCGAGCCCTTGAGGTTCATTGCTGCAGATATCACCCGCCTCCATGCATATCTCTGCTTGGCCTTCTTCAGCATTCCCAGCCCTTGAGGTTCATTGCTGCAGATATCACCCGCCTCCACTCATCTCTCCGGTTGGCCTTCGCTTTCCAGCTGGTGACCACAAGTGTTTGCAGGTCTGTCTGGACGTTATCTCTCCATTGTCTTTATGGTCTGCCTCGTAGTCTACGCCCTTTCAGCTGCCTCGTGTATACAGTTTTGACCGTCCTTTCATTTGACATTCTCTCAATATGTCCCAGCCATTTCAGTCTATTAGATCTCATGGTCTAACTTCCAACGGTTTGAAAAACTAAAATCCGCCCCTCACTCTACTCCTCACCACTATTTTCGAGCCCATTAATCAGCCGTGTCTATAACGTCTCCTTCTTTGTTTGACTCTTTCTCAATCTCGGTCTGTGGCAATAACTATGTCTCATTTATCTCTCTCTGTTTTAATATATATGTCGCAATGGTTACTTCAGCCGTTCTTCTCCTGTCTCGCCCCACTGATCCTAGTTGTCTCTGTGTGCGCACTTTAATCGATAAAGGCTTGACAAAAAGGTTTTAATCGATCGATATGTCCCGTTCGCGATGCTATCTAAAGGTTTATCGCCCTCAGATTGAAAAAAAAAAAAAAAAAAAAGATCTGGTTACTTTGACCTTGGTCTCCCCAAACAGAGTAGATCACTTTTCATTCACAAGTTTGTTAGGCTAGTCGACTTTCATGAAGATAAGGGGTGTGTCCCGCTCTGTTGTTTAGTTTCTGCGATTTCTTGCATTTACGTTTTCATTTTGAGAAAGAGAATGCCTGTGACATAGGTTGAAGCACTATATAGGGGGGTTGTGTTAGACCCAGTTTCTCCATTTTTTTGGGGGGAGTGTTAAAAGCGCTGGCGTGCTGAAATATACAACACGCGATATCAACGACATTGCGGAACACTCCGGTAACCGTGTGCGAAGGACACGGGGCTCAGGGACTACCAATAAGAAGTAAGCCAGTGTGTATGTGGGCGGGGTCTTGGGAGACTAACATCAAACTAACCAAAAATCGAAAGCTGAATGGCAGACCAACAGGGTGGAGCTCAGACACCCCAACAGCGTGGAGCTCAGACACCCCAACAGCGTGGAGTTCAGACACTCCAACAGGGTGGTTTTCAGACACCCAACAGGGTGGAGCTCAGACACCCCAACAGGGTGGAGCTTAGACATCCCAACAGCGTGGAGCTCAGACACCCCAACAGGGTGGAGCTCAGACACCCCAACAGGGTGGAGCTCAGACACTCCAACAGGGTACAGCTCTGACACCCCAACAGGGTGGAGCTCAGATACCCCAACAGGGTGGAGCTCATACACCCCAACAGGGTGGAGCTCAGACACTCCAACAGGGTACAGCTCTGACACCCCAACAGGATGGAGCTCAGACACCCCAACAGGGTGGAGCTCAGACACCCCAACAGGGTGGAGCTCAGACACCCTAACAGACAGGTCACCCTCTAACGTTTGATAATGTAAATATTTTAAAAGTTCTTAGTTTAACTGGTGTCATTTGAAACCGTAAGGGCCTTCTTCTTCTTCTTCGAGTTCACCAGCTGTAAACTCTGGTGGAAAGCTCTGGTTGTTCATCCAATTTTGGACTGCAGTCCTGTTCCAGAACCTGAGTGTTGCGTGTGCATCCGTTTTACAGATCTGATTCATTTGTATGCAGACTGCCTCCTTGCCTATTAGGCAGATGCACTCCAACTTCGAAGGAAGCTCCTAATTAGTAGACTCTTACGACATGCTTTTGGGTAGGCAGTAGGTCTATTCTCCCCTCCCTCCTCCCCCATAATAGGGCCCTGGAACCCACAGAGAGAATACACAAAATATAACCAGGTAGAACACATTTACCGTAAACCTGCAGCATAGCTGATACAGTCCTGGTTACATCTCTGGTATCGCTGATATAATTCTATAATAATTCTACGGTCCAGCCGACATAGATCTACTATAAACCTATAGTCGTCTCGACATCAATCTATGAAAACACACTATAGACCAGGTAATATAAATCTATAATAAAACCACAGTGTGCCAATAACTCTAATCTGGCCTATGCAGGCGTCATTACAGAACTGATCTTCACATTATCAGCTATATTTGGCTCAAATCAATTCCCCTCAATATCTGGTCTGTTCTGGCGTCTGGGCTGTTCACTGGACACAGACATATTCACAAGGGCCATAGTCTCAGCTATAGATGAGTTACAATAAAGCTTTTAGCACAATGTGCCTGTTTGTGAGTACCAGCGTGTGGGTGAGCCGCGCGCGTTCGGCGCCACTTTTTTTCGCGGAGATTACATCAGCAACATGCACTAACAAGTCTACACCGTCTCCACACCAAAGGTCTCCCCTCTCTCTCTCTCTCTTTCTCTCTCTCTCTCTCTCTCTCTCTCTCTCTCTCTCTCTCTCTCTCTCACACACACACACACGTTTCCATAAAAAAAAAAAAAAAAAAAAAAAAACAAAGACTGCAGTTAACTGAATCATAATTAAAAGCAGCAAGGCACATGCTAATAGTAGTAGCAATAGAAGTACGGCACTCCTCTACTTCTTCTTTGCGTTAACCGGATGTAAAACTCCAGTAGAAAGTTCTGGTTGTTCGTCTGCTTCTAGACTTTATTATTGTGGAGTTTTGCGTGCAGATCCGTTCTACAACTCTTGATTATTTGTGTGCTGACTGTTGGTTTCTCGCCTCTCATGCAGATGCAACTTCGACTTCGAAGGAAAATATGGTACTGATGTGTTGGAACTGCCCATTCAGACACAGCACAGAGATAAAACTACCAGCTGACTTAC